GGGTTTAGGGTTGATGGGTTGAGGGTTTTGGGGTTTTGGGTTTGGGCTTTGGGGTTTGAGGTTTAGTGGTTTTTATGGGTTGGGGGTTCAGGGTTCAGGGTTTAGGGTTTGGGGTTTTTATCAAGGTAGCGTTTATCTTGAGTGCAGCAAACTTACGAGGCTCGGTCTTGAAGTGCGGAAAGCTAACAAAGAAATTGCCACATAACAGGGAGACGGAATGTGCTAAGCAGAGTGGCAACCCTTTCCGCCCCTATCAGGTTGTAAGATGGGGGCCTAAATTGTTACGAATATTATTTAGGCGGGGTTCCTTATTACAAACAGTATAATGTGCCTCAAAGCCCTATTCTAATTATTAAGGCCCCTGTATTATGTTGATTCATGACTGGAGTGCTTTGGGTTTTGGATTTTGAAACTGTTGCGCTCTAGCGGTGATGCTTAAGCACTAAACCGCAAGCTCCAAGGGGTTCGGGGTCAGTATGTTGTTTTTGTTTTCTGGGGTGAAGACCTAAACCCTAAACCCTAAACCCTAAACCCTAAACCCTAAACCCTAAAACCCTAAACCGAAGAACCCGAAACTCCTTTTCTCAAGCCCCGAGCCCCTTGCAGAACAAGCCCAGGCGAACCGCTCAACCCCCATATAGAGTCATCGCAAACCTTACCCCAAGACCCGAAACCCCAAGCCCCAGACCCGAAACCCCGGACCCTAAGCCCTAAACCCCAAACCCTAAACTCCAGTTTAGGGCATGCCTTAAGGATAGAAACCCTAAACCCTAAACCCTAAACCCTAAACCCTAAACCCAGTAGGATTTGCAAGTTTCTTTGGCTTTGGACCTGGGGCCCGAAGCGCTTTTGCTCTTCAAAGCCCAAACCCTAACAGAACAACTCTTAGCGAACCGTCCAGAACCCTTACCCAGAGAGCCCAATACCCCTTAAATAAGGAATATGGCTTAAATTATAAGGGGCCTCATATTATGGCGTAAGCTATATTCCTTACTTAAGGGGTATTGGGCTCTCTTTGTATAGAGTCATTACAAGCCTTCCAACAACCCACAACCCCGAAACTCTACCCCCCCCCCCCACCCGAACACCCTAAACTCCCAGCACCTTTTCCTGGGTGCGTGCTGAGGAGCTTAGTTCAAGTTACAACAAAAAACCATAAGAGGGATCGATAGTGGGTTTCGGGGGTTTATAGTTTCTTCATTGTGGTAGTAATATTCCATAATAGGGATCGATAGTGGGTTTAGGGTTTCGGGGTTTATGGTTTCCTGTGAGTTTCAAAGGTCACACCCTCACGGACGAGCTTCGACTGGTGATTCTCCCAACTTATTATGGCAGTTTAAACTCAGTAGCCAGTTTCTTTCAGCCGCATACCCCAAACACCAAACCCTACTTGGAGGGTCGCGGGGATTTAGTAACTAGGTACTAAGTAGACTTATAAGTACCTTAAAACGAGTCCTACTTGAGGCTATGATGCTTATGAATACTTACAAGTTTGTAGGCTAGCTACTTACTACGTCCCCGGACCCTCCTCCTAAGCCCTAAACCCTAAATCCCTAAACCCTAAACCCTAAACCCTAAAATCCTAAGACCCTAAATCCCTAAACCCTAAACCCTGCTTGAAATAAACCCCAAGGAGGCACTCGCCGAATGCCTCGATCGCTTCGATGCGGCTCAGAGCACAGGCTTTCAGGTTCGTTGAAGGGTTCAAGGTTCAGGGGTTAGGGTTTAGGGAACCCTAAACCCCTAGACCCGACCCCCTAAGCCCCAAACCCTAAACCCTAAACCATCAAACCTTAAACCCTAAACACCCTACACCCTAAACCCTAAACCCTAAACCCTAAACCCTAAACCCTAAACCCTAGACCCGAACCCCTAAGCCCCAAACCCTAAACCCTAAACCCTCAAACCTAAGGGCTTTAGGGGATCAGGGTGAAGCTATCGAATTTTGGGCTTTGGCTTCCAGCAGGTTTCTTTTTCAGGGTTCGAAAAGGGTTCCTGTAAGGGTTCTGCCGCGGTTCTTTCGGGGTTGAGGGCTGGGGTTGTGGGCTGTTTGTGGTTTTGGGCTGGGGGGGTTTAAAGTTCAATCAGGCCTGTAAGGGCATATCAAGGTTCTGAGCAATTCGCTCGACCCTAAGCCCTAAACCCTAAACCCTAAACCTTAAACCGTAGCGTTCAGAGCTCAGGGTTTTGGGTTTTGGGCTCAGGGTTTCGGATTTTGATTGCTGGTTTTGGCGTTTTGGGCTTAGGGTTTCGGGTATTGGGTTTGGTGTTCAGAGTTCGGCCACTGGTGCCGCGCGGAAGTATGGCTGGAGTGTTGCATGAAAAAACCCAAATCGCTGGCCAGAGACCCTAAACCCTAAACCCTAAACTTGTGTACAAAAACTGAGGAAGAGGAGAAAAGGGTACTATGTTATTCAAGGGTTGCCGGAGAGACTCGTTTCGGTACCCAAAGTTTCCCGCTACTCTAGGACTCTAGGGACCTTGACACGTGTCAGCAAGTAGAATTGTGCTTTGGGGGTTTAGGGTTTAGGGTTTAGGGTTTAGTATGCTACAACTATAATAGCTATAAGGGGATGCTGTGATTTCGAACCCCGAACCAGCCAAACTGTCTAGACTTCGGTAGTCGATTTGGAGGCTTGAGTGGTGATTAAGAGTAACACTGTTTCCCTGCATGCCCCCACTGACTCATAGCCAAAACATGCCAAAAACCTTCTCCTATTAAAGCCCCGAAATTCAGCCTTCAACCCCATCCTACTTTGAGCTCTTGATTCGGGTCACGACTACTCGGCACAACCGACCGATGCATGCCGTGGTTATGGCAAGGATTGTAAAGGCTTCAAACTCATGGCTGAAGCTGCCCTCACTCCCTATAACACCCTTTGAAAAGCCAAGCCCGAGACCCTAATTAACTAGGAGGGTCGGGGGATGTCGTGAGTAGGTAAGTAGGTCCTTAGGTAAAAGACATAGACTTATAAAACTTATAAGTGCCCGAAAACGGAGCCTGATTGGCGTTCTGCTGCATATCAGTATACAAAGCAGCTACTTACTAAGTCCACCGACCCTTCAATCAAGGTGGGGCTAGTGCCGCGGCTTTTCCGCCTTGGAATCTCCCAAAGGGAGCGTGCCTCTCGGACAGCCAGGCTTCATCGCCTCATAACCTGGCTCAGGGTGCAGGGTTTAGGAGTTTGGGGCTTATTTAGGATCCCTTCGGAATCTGTTGCTAACTTGATTATTATTCGTCTCTTCCCAAAGGAGCAGGGTTGCTATGCATTGTGCATGTTGACTGTTGATTGATCTTGTTGTGTCATGCCCAGTTTGTCGTCATATTTCCGTTGGCATGATCACATGCTCTTTATATTGAAAGCTAGTAGATCAGAACTCTACTTCCTCATCTTCTTCCTATGGTTGCTATGATATTGCTCTTATTCTTCTTGTTGCCTTTTTCTGAGAGGACTTTGCTACGGGTTGGACGGTTCAGGGGCTCAGTTCAGAGGCTTAGGTTTGAGGGTTTAGAGTGATCTGGGAATTTCGCCTTGGATCATCCGCAGAATCCCCACCAATGTTTTTTGAGAAAGCTGCCTGACGTTTGCTCAAACCCTCAGCCCTCCGGGCAGCACCACAACACACTATAGTAGAAGCCCAAAAGTTGGAAACCCAATAGCCAGTAATGTATACGGAATCCCAGCAATGATAATTTTCCTTAATCCGGTTTCCAATCTTTTCGGGTTTACACTACACCCTACGCAGTAAACTCTAAGCTTCACACAAACTCCGAAAACCCGAAACACCTGCTGCCAACATCCCCCGGCCGAGGTGCCCGAGATCTTGAGTCTTGTGGTCTTTCTCATCGAGCTTTTCCCGGAAATCGGTGCCGAGGTGTTTTTTTGGGTTTTGCAGGGTTTAGGAGGGCTTCTTGGGGTTAAAGGGGCTTTAGGGTTTAAGGGTTTGTGATTTAAGGGCTTAGGAGGTCAGCTTCACTGGTGCTCCATTCTCTTATTGGGGGGGCGGGGAAGGTTCCACGAGGATGCTGTCTATGGACACTGTGATGGTGTTAAGGACCAACCTAGAACTTTCGGGTCTTCGGGGTTTTGGGTCCAGCATTTAGGGTTCAGAGGACTTGTTTTCTAGAAGTTGTGTGGCCTCCGGTGAAACTGTCGGTGTCATGGCCCGGCAACCATCAACCGAAGACGGTTTAGGGTTTTAGGGTTTAGGGTTTAGGTTTAGGGTTTAGGGTTTAGGGAAACCATGCCAACACTCTACATTCTCGACTCGACTCTAAAGCCCAAGACACTAAAGCCTAAAACAGAACACCGTAGAAAACCATAGCCGCTACATGCCTAGACGAAGCCTGGACCCCAAACCAAAGTTCTTCAGCCTGGGATCAGGCTTCCGGGAGAGCCCCCCCCTCGCCGGGTCTAGGCTTTGCGGTTTAGGGGTTTAGGGTTTGGGGTTTGGGGTTGAGGGTTTGAGGGTCTATCTATCTATCTATCTATCTATCTATCTATCTATCTATCTATCTATCTTATCTATCTTATCTATCTAATCTATCTATCTATCTATCTATCTATCTATCTGTCTATCTATCTATCTATCTATCTATCTATCTTTGTATCTATGTATCTATCTATCTATCTATCTATCTATCTATCTATCTATCTAATCTATCTATTTATCTATCTATCTATCTGTCTATCTATTTATTTATCTACCTATCTATCTATCTATCTATCTATCTATCTATCTATAGAGTTTAGGGTTGAGGGCCTTCAAAGCAAAACACAACCATCCATGAACTTATACCGTCGAATTGAAGATCATGCGAGAGCGGGGAAGGAGGCGCTCATTGACCTCATCGGTTTCCGGGGGTGCGTATAGCGACGACATTAGCAATGCGCGATGAGCGCCGCAGAAAGACTCGTTTCGAGCTTTCTGGGAAGGGTCGTCGGAGGGGTTCTGACACCAGTCCAGTCAACCTCCAACCAGATATCCGGAGACTCTTGGAACCTAAGTACACCCTAAGCTCCCGAAGCCAGGTGATGTCGGCTTCCTCCTCTCAACCCTACACCCGAAACCTATACCACCAACCCTAAGCTTTGAACACCAAACTTTCGGTCAGCCGGAAATCCCATGCCCTTTGGAGTGTTAAGGAACATGTTTGTTGCTGCAGGTCTTCCGAAATCACTTGCATCTACTGTGGTATCTGGGCAAGACTGGGCTTCCGCCAGAGGAGGCGGCCGTGGCAGCTGCGCCCCTTGGTGTCTTTTGGTTTGGGGCTCAGGGGAAAGTTTGCTTAGGAAGTCGTCCGGGGCTTTCAGGCCCTAAACCCTAAACTCGACCCCAAACGCCGAGTCGTCGACCACAAGCCCTGAACATCCCCTGGTTTGATATACTTTGAATCATGTTAATGATCCCCTTCGATAAGCTGAGCCTTGTAAGGAATCGTTCTTTAACCCTCAACCTTAAATCTTCAACCACTTCACTGAGGGGGCTTTTTGAAGCCTTTCCCGACATCCCGCACTTACGGATCAAAATTTCTTCAGTTATCAGAAATGCAACCCACTTCAACTAAAAGAGAAATCCCTTAAAAAAGAACCTCATAAAAAAAATCCCTTAAAAAAGAACCTCATTAAAAAAATCCCTTAAAAAAGAACCTCATTAATATTAATAACAGGTGATACGAGGATCCTCATGATCGTCCATGACTTTAATGGTCATGGGAGAGGCTTCTCTAATCAGGGCTCTACTGTGTAGACGGTTAAGGTTTAGGGTTTAGGGTTTAGGGTTTAGGGTTTAGGGTTTAGGGTTTAGGGTTTAGGGTTTAGGGTTTAGGGTTCGGTCGATCCGTTTCTGTCAATCTACAGAACGCGATAAGTACCCTCGTAAGAGTCCTCAGACGCTGTGTAAGACAGTTTCGATGACAAGAGCCTTCAACCCCCAATCCCAAAACCTTACAGAAGCCCGAAACCTTAAACTTCATCCCAAAACCTCAAACCCTAAACCCTAAAGCCTAAACTAAACCCTACGCCCTAAACCCTAAACCCGAAACTAAACCCCAAGCCCTAAACCCTAAACCCAAAACCCAAAACCCTCAAACCCTAAACCCTCAGGCCCTAAACCGTCGACCCCAAGCTCTGAAACTCCTTAGCCCCAAGCAAACCCAACGGTTGATGATATAAATCCTGCATTACCCATGATAAGGCTTTAGGGTTTAGGGTCTAGGGTAAATCCTGCATTACCCATGATAAGGCTTTAGGGTTTAGGGTCTAGGGTTGATGATATAAGCCCTGCATTACCCATAACAAGGAATACATCATAATTCCCATAGTTTAGGGCCCTAAACCCTAAACCCAAAACCCTAAAACCTAAACCCTAAAGCAAGGCAGGGCTTCTATCATCAACACTACCACCTCCCAGGCCTCAACACCGCCTTGGCCCTAGGCGAATCATATGAAGATGAAGACTCATCTTCTTGTTAGGTAGCATTACTGTTAATGTTAATGCCAGTGCTAATGCTCATCTTAATGTGACTATGAATATGAATATGAAGAATCATGAATATGAAAGCTAACATATATATATATATATCATGAACACAAAGACACACATACATACATATATATATATATATATATACATGTATGTGTGTATGTGTGTAGGTATGTATGTATGTATGTATGTATGCATGCATGCATGCATGCATGCATGCATGCATGCATGCATGCATGTATGTATGTATGTATGTATGTATACACAAAAGCCAAACTAAACCATTCATTAAGATACTCTTAGGGCTCCTTATTGCAATTGTGGTACCATACGGCCCGTCTCCAAACCCTATTCAAGGCCCTCTTCTCATTATTAAGTCCCCTAAAACCCTAAACCGTGGCTCTGCCCAAAACGACCACCGAGGCACGCCGAGGCCGCTTGCCACTTCAGCCTCGCTGCTGTGGGTGACCGCCCAGATCGCCATGAGCTTGAACGCGAGGCAAGCCGAAGCCTTCAACTGAAGCATTTAAGGGTTTAGGGTTTAGGGTTTAGGGTTTAGGGTTTAGGGTTTAGGGCTTTAGGGCTTTAGGGGGTTTAGAGCTCTAGGGGTTTTAGGGGTTGAGGGGGCTTAGGGGTTTAGGGGTTTGGGGGCTTTGGGGTTTAGGGGCCTTGGGGTTTAGGGGCTTAGGGGCTTAGGGGTTAGGGTTGTGGGATAAACACAGGATCAGGAGCCTCATTAATCGGATCAGGTTTGTCGGTACCTTGATTGTTGTCTACCCAAAACCCTAAACCCTAAACCCTAAACCCTCTAGCTCTTTTCGGGACCAAGAGGGGATGAGGCAAGTCAGCCCCAACCTCGAAACACCGAACCCTATAGGGTTTTAGGGTTTTAGTCTAGGACATTTTCAGGTGGGTAGTTACCGTTATAGGAGCCGTATAGAAGGTCTATATACCTTATAGAAGCCTTATAGAAGCCCTATATACCCTAACCTCCCCACCTGTAGTTTTCTTTGATGTAGGGTTTAGGGTTTAGGGTATATCAAATCCTGCACGGAACCCATCATCTTGAAGCCCAGACCCTGAACCCTGAACCGGAACCCACTTGGAGGGTCGGGGGACTTGGTAAGTAGGTTATAAGTAGACTTTTAAGTAACCCAACAGGGACTCGAATTGGGGTTATGATACCTATAAGTTTATAAAATAGGGCTTCAGACGAGGGCTTAGGGCTCTTGGGTTTTAGGACTTTTAGGATTTGGCGTTTGGAGTTTCGGGTCTACTTGGAGGGGCTTCTCAAGTAATAAGTACGGTTGTTGACATAAATCCGGCATCACCCATAATAAGGAGTATACCATAATTCCCATAGTTGAGGGTCCTTAAGGTAGTGCAGGATGTTCATCGTCATCATCAACAGTATCATATCCCCAAGTAGGATCCTTGTTAGGATAATATAGAAGCCGAAACAATTACCAACAGTATTTCGGGGTTCCTCGTTATGTGTATAGCAAAATATACCCCAAAACCCTGCTCTAATTATTACGGCCCCTACATTACTTGTAGATTGCTAAGCTTGCAGGGTCTCCACGTATAACCCTGCGACCCGTAACTCTGACCCCAAACCCGAAGAGAGAAGAGAGTAGGGTTTAGGGTTTAGG